GAAAATGTTTTCTCTTCTCTTGATAAGTAAAACAAAATGAGTTCATAAGTAAAATGTTTTCCAAAACATTTAAGCCAACAAAACATGGGAAAATTGGAAAACATTTTCCGAAAAATGTTTTCCTTCCTACCAAACACACCCTAAGTTCACATAAATTGAAAAGGACGAAGTAGTTTACATTATGAGTGTGTAATTCAGACCAAGGGATATGCTGCTAGTTTGTCTAATGGAGCAAGCGAGATATTAAGAAGTTAAAAAATTAAACAAATTGTTCAATTTACTGTAGGTGATTACCAGGTTTAAAGCATGTGTATGATTAAGGGTTCCAATTTTTTATAGCATCTATACTTACTTACTGCTGCAAGTTTGTTTGGTCTGATATGATATCAAGTTTTTTGAAATCTTACAGGTTGATCTCCAGTACAAAGTTTGTATTTTGACGCCCCCTGCATTGACACTATGGGAAAATAGTCAAGTAAATGCATCAGTGGTTGGAAAAAGACTGCCAAATATATATAGCTCATCAAAAGTAAGAGATTTTATCTATGTTCCAAAATGGAACTTACCTTTGATTTGGAACCTGCCACTTTAAGTTTCTGCTGGTCTGTTTTTTGGTAAATAGAATTTATCTCTCACTTTGACTTGGTAAGAATTGGAAGTCTGTATTGCTTTAATGTGAAACTGCTGCTTTTGAAATCTAAGTGGAGTCTCAAGTTACTAGCTGTATCTTTTAATTTTCTTAATTCTCTTTCATTATATTTACACTGATTATTAGCAGATTGTGTCATATATTTTGAACAGTATCAAAGTTTGATGTCATACTAAATTAACATACGATCGGCCCTGTCAAATCTAAGGCAAATATGGTGTAAGACAGGTAGGGTAAGATTTGCGTACAGACTATCCTCCTTAGACCTCACTTGTGGGATTAATAGCCTGTTTGGCCAAGCTGCAAAAATCAGCTTATTTTTTTCAAAAGTGCTTTTCTCAAAAGTACTTTTGGTGAGAAGCAGTTTGTGTTTGACTAATTAGTTTGAAAAACACTTCTGAGCAGCAATTAGTGTTTGGCCAAGCTTTAAAAAGCTGTTTTTAAGTGCATTTTTTTTCAAAAGTGCTTTTCTCAAAAGTACTTTTGGTGAGAAGCAGTTTGTGTTTGACTAATTAGTTTGAAAAACACTTCTGAGCAGCAATTAGTGTTTGGCCAAGCTTTAAAAAGCTGTTTTTAAGTGCATTTTTTTTCAAAAGTGCTTCTCAAAAAAGTGCTTTTGGAGAGAAACTATTTTTTTCTGCTTCTCCAAAACTGCTTCTGCTTCTCCTCAAAAGCACTTTTTTTCCTTCCAAAAGCTTGGCCAAACACCTCAATTTTTGGCCAAAAAGAAGCTTGGGCACACAGGCTAAATTGAGGTTGTTGTTGTTGTTGGTCTGGTAATAATAGTATCATTTTATAGATCTTTACAACTTCGAGGACTTTAGAGTAATTTAATTAGATATTCATATTTCAAGCTTTGATGTGATGTTTTAAACTAATCTATATCTATATAAATATATAAAGCTGGGTAATAACTTGATGATGTGGCATGTCTCTTTAGGCAGTATGTCAATTTATACTTTTTCTCAAAATTTTAAACTTTTTCCTTATTTTCTATCCCCAAAAGAATGCAAAAAATAAATAAATCTCTAACCCCATTATCCCTATTTATTTCTTTTCGTCAAATCCGTTTTTCTCCCTTCTCTTTCTTCCGTTTTTTAAATCCTCATTATTGCTCCATTTCTTCTTTTCCTCAAATCCCTCTAACTTCCTTCTCTTTCTTCCATTTTCTTAAATTGTATTTCCTTTTATCTCGCTATAAAATCAACGCCCTAAAGGCAAAGAAAAATCATAGCCTGTTTGGCCAAGCTTCTTTTTGGTCAAAAGTGTTTTTTTTTCTTTTCAAAAGTACTTTTGGCCAAAAATTGAGGTGTTTGGCCAAGCTTTTGGAAGGAAAAAAAGTACTTTTGAGGAGAAGCAAAAGCAGTTTTGGAAAAGCAGAAAAAAGTAGTTTCTCTCCAAAAGCACTTTTTTGAGAAGCACTTTTGAGAAAAATACACTTAAAAGCAGTTTTTTAAAGCTTGATCAAACACTAATTGTTGCTCAGAAGTGCTTTTCAAACTAATTAGCCAAACACAAACTTGTAACGACCCGATCGATCGCTTTGAGCTGTTGCATTTCGCCCGCCAGTTCTCGTGCATGACTTGCCCCGTGTGGTATATTATGACTTATGTAAATCGTTTGTGTTGGGTTTCAGGTTAATCAGAATGAATTTGGAAGAATAGTCTCAGTTGAAAGCTTAAAATTTGAAAGGGTTGACCAAAATTTGACTTATGTGTATTTGATCTCGGATGAGAATTTTTATGACTTGGTTAGCTCCGTTAGGTGATTTGGGACTTAGGAGCGTGATCGGAATGCATTATAGAAGTCCGTGGAAAGTTTAGGCTTGGATTGGCGAAATTGAGATTTCGGCGCTTTCGGTCGATAGGTGAGATTTTGATATAGGAGTCGGAATGGAATTCCGAGAGTTCCAGTAGTTTCGTTGTGTCATTTGGGATGTGCGTACAAATTTTCAGGTCATTCGGACGAGATTTGATAGACTTTTTGATTGAAAGCATAATTTAAGAGTTTTTGGAGTTCTTAAGCTTGAATCCGAAGTTGATTTTGTGTTTTGATGTTGTTCGGAGTGATTCGAAAACTCGACTAGATGTTAATGATGTTATGGGAGGTGTTGGTATGTTTGGGTTGAGGTCTGATGGCTCCGGGTGTGTTTCGGGTGAGTTTTGAGCAAGTACGGACATTTCAGAACTTAAAAAATGGATGGGGGCAGAATTGTTAGCGCTGGCCGTGGTAGAATTAGTGCTGGGCGCGTAAAAGTGACCGCGGCCGTGGTCATGAAGATCTGCAGATCGTCGGTCCAACTTCGGAAGCTCATATCTTTTGATCCACAAGGCATTTTGAGATGATTCAAAAACGAAAGTTGTAGCCCTTCGTGTCTAGTTACCAGAAAGGTAAAGATATCGCAATTTGGACATCTGTAGCAAAAGTTATGGCCAAAATACTAAAGTCTGTCACTGTAGAGGAAGGCCTGTGCAGTCGCGGTTGTGTTTGCGCGGACCGCACTGGCTTGCGCGGACCGCAGAGGCTGGAACCTGAGGGGTACCCTATAAATACAAGGTTTTGGGTTTTATTTAATATTTTGATCTAGAGAGCTCGAATTTTAGCGATTTTTTGAAGGTTTTTCAAGAAATTCATCGGGGTAAGTGA